ATTAAATATTAAAATATTAAATATTAAAATACTATAATATTAAAATATTAAATATTAAAATACTATAATATTAAAATATTAAATATTAAATATTAAAATACTATAATATTAAAATATTAAATATTAAATATTAAAATATTAAATATTAAATATTAAAATACTATAATATTAAAATATTAAATATTAAATATTAAATATTAAAATACTATAATATTAAAATATTAAATATTTAATATTAAATATTAAAATACTATAATATTAAAATATTAAATATTAAAATATTAAATATTAAATATTAAAATACAATATTAAAATATTAAATATTAAAATACAATATTAAAATATTAAATATTAAAATACAATATTAAAATATTAAATATTAAAATATTAAAATATTATAATATTAAAATATTAAATAATAAAATATTAAAAATATATAAAAAATTTGTATAAAATATATATGAAAACAAAATTCTCGTCAGTATTTTACCATGAGACGCTAGAAACTTTGACGTTACTCTGGATCCTTGAAGAGGATCGGCTATGAATTGAAAAGCGAACGAACGAAATCGTCGAAATGCGAAACCATCTGGCGATTAACACCGCCGTTTAACACGATTAGTTTTTCGTAAAACGTTGTACGCGATGCGACGGAGCAACTGGAACGGAGAATCGTTTCACGATTCGTGCAATTTCGATTTATTCGCGATTTCCTCTTACGTTCGTTACGCCGGATTATCGAGTTTTGCTGCATGACAAACGACTAAAGCCGGGCGTGCGCGTGAGTGTAAGGGACCAGTGACAATCGTGTGTGTTAGTGTGTCGGGACACGTGTAACATAAGCCAACAATTATTGCATGCACTGCGCGGGGAAGAGGAGGGGGATCATCGGAGACAAACATATAAAGCGGTTTATTCCTAGTTTCGCGCAAACGTTTGTACACCGTCATTCAAAAGTTGCGGACGTGACGTTCGAGATCTCGCTTTTCGCAGTTTTCTCACCGATTTTTTTTCCAGTTTTTCTTTTTTTGTTTCACTGTAGAACTCGCAGAAGGGACAGACAACAACACGAAGGCAGATTATTGGAACATAACGTTTCCTTTTTGATTTGAAAGAACGATTCGAAGATTCAGAGACTTGAAAATTCTATTGTTTCGATATCGCGTGACGACATGTCGATTGTTCTTTCATTTATTTGCGATTTTTATTATTTGCATGGGGGACAAATAACACGGAGGAAGATTATTCGAATATAACATTTCTTCTTCTTCTTCTTTTTTTTTTTTTCAATTTAGAAATTCAGAAATTTAATCGCTTCAGTCAGTGTTTCAACCTCGTTCTTTTCTCTTTCCCATTCCAAGTTTTCTGATTTTTTTCAGAATCGAAACAGTTTTAGGAGATGATAGAGGAACATTGTTGTTTTTATCTACATTCTCTCGAAGATTATTCTAACCTTTAATTGAAAAGCACTTTCGCGAGATTGAGATTTAAAAGTTCAAAGATTAAGAGAGACCAAGAAAAATCTCTTTTTCCTTTCTGCCATTATTTTATTATTATTATTTTTATTTCTCTACTTACGAAACTCTTCGAGCCAATCAACATTTAAATCTATCATTGAGATTTAAAAATTCGGGAATCACGAGAGTGAAAAGGGATCTTTTCTCGGCGAAATCATTCGAACCAAATCCCATTGCTATCAAGAGACACGGATTTTCGAATTTCTCTAATTTCCAAACTAATTTTTTCCAAACTTTCCAACTGGGAGAGGAGTCGGCTCAAGGTCAAGAAGAAGAAGACGAGCGTTTCTCTCGGTTCTGTTCACAGAAACCGCAGTTTCACAGAACTTTTGATTAGCAATGTATTGCTCGAGTTGACGTTTCGAGACAGCGAGAAAGAGCGAACGATAGAAATGATAGAGTAAGAGAGAAAGAGAGAGAGAGAGAGAGAGGGAAGTCTGCATGCATTATGAACAACGTGCTGCCATGCACGCGTGCATCCACGTGCTCGTTTCCTCGCGAGGGAAGCCGATCCGCGAAATTGGATTTCGCTTGAGCGCATCGATCGTTGGAAAATGATTACTCATGAGATCTTGCGCTTTTTCTTTTTTTCTCTTTCCCCCTCTCCCTTTTTTTCCTTCGCGTTCCTCACCAGCGCTGTTCTAGCGCATCGCGTGTAGATTTTTACGAGAAATTGAACTCGAAACGAAGTAATTAGACACTATTGCCAAGAATGACTCTTTACGTTTTGTTTTTCTTTGTTCTTTCGATTAAATTTTTATTCCAAGATACTCGTCTCTTTGTGCGGTATAGTTGAAGGCATAACGATGAAAAATTGTCGGTACTTCAAACCGCTTCAAACTTCGTAAAAGAAATCATCGAAATTGAAATCAAAATGGAGTAATTAGATATTATTGCCAATAGTAACTCTTTACTTTTTTCTTCTTTTGTTTTTTCAATTAATTTTTATTCCAAGATATTCGTCTTTTTATGCGGCATAGTTGAAGACATAACGATGAAAAATTGTCGGTACTTCAAACCGCTTCAAACTTCGTAAAAGAAATTATCGAAATTGAAATCAAAATGGAGTAATTAGATATTATTGCCAATAGTAACTCTTTACTTTTTTCTTCTTTTGTTTTTTCAATTAATTTTTATTCCAAGATATTCGTTTCTTTATGCGGCATAGTTGAAGGCATAACGATGAAAAATTGTCGGTACTTCAAACCGCTTCAAACTTCGCAAAAGAAACCATCGAAATTGAAATCAAAATGGAGTAATTAGATATTATTGCCAATAGTAACTCTTTACTTTTTTTTTTTGTTTTTTCGATTAATTTTTATTCCAAGATACTCGTCTCTTCATGCGGCATAGTTGAAGACATAACGATGAAAAATTGTCGGTACTTCAAACCGCTTCAAACTTCGTAAAAGAAATTATCGAAATTGAAATCAAAATGGAGTAATTAGATATTATTGCCAATAGTAACTCTTTACTTTTTTCTTCTTTTGTTTTTTCAATTAATTTTTATTCCAAGATATTCGTTTCTTTATGCGGCATAGTTGAAGGCATAACGATGAAAAATTGTCGGTACTTCAAACCGCTTCAAACTTCGCAAAAGAAACCATCGAAATTGAAATCAAAATGGAGTAATTAGATATTATTGCCAATAGTAACTCTTTACTTTTTTTTTTTGTTTTTTCGATTAATTTTTATTCCAAGATACTCGTCTCTTCATGCGGTATAGTTGAAGGCATAACGATGAAAAATTGTCGGTACTTCAAACCGCTTCAAACTTCGTAAAAGAAATCATCGAAATTGAAATCAAAATGGAGTAATTAGATATTATTGCCCATAGTAACTCTTTACTTTTTTCTTTTTTTGTTTTTTCGATTAATTTTTATTCCAAGATACCCGTCTCTTCATGCGGTATAGTTGAAGGCATAACGATGAAAAATTGTCGGTACTTCAAACCGTTTCAAACTTCGCAAAAGAAATCATCGAAAAAAACGAAGTAATTAAACATTATTGCCAAGAATGACTCTTTACTTTTTTCTTTTTTTGTTCTTTCGATTAATTTTTATTCCAAGATACTCATTTCTTTATGCGGTATAGTTAAATGCATAACAAAAAATTGTCAGTACTTCAAACTGCTTCAAACTTCATAGAAGAAATTACGTGATTGCACAGGGTTTATTTTTGGTCTCATTTTTTAAAGTGCAGAACTTCTATTTTGACTTCTGAATTCGTTTTTCTCAAGATTTTTTTAAATATCATGTAGCAAATAGGAAAAAAAATTGTAAAATTCACACGTATGTGAGAACACTGGAAAATTTTAATTTTACTCGTGACTAAATCCACCACAGTTTCGAAGATCGAAATTTCTCCTTAAAACAATGATAAACAATTTTTTTTTTATTTTATTAAATTTTGAACATTGGAGTTAAAGGACCAAAAATTCAAAAAAATATAAATAAAAGATAATGATAAAGTTACAAATAAGAAAAAGAAAAAAGAAAAAAATCGCACAGTTTTAAGGGAAAATTTTCATTTTCGAAAAACTCTGGTGGATTAAATTGCCAAAAAAAAAAAAAAATTTCTTCAACGTTCCTACAGACGTGTTTGAATTTTTACAATTTTTTACAAGAATCTGCAAGGATCCCTAGAATTTATTATACAACACTGTTGTTGTTGCACTTCAATTTGCTCGAGAAACCGGGCAAACTATACTTCAGTGGGAAATCATCGATCGTTCTTTAAAATTATCGCTTTATTTCTCTCAGATATTACGTTCGTCTTTCTTTTCTTTTTTTTTCTACTCTTTCCTTCGATTTTTCCAACGCCTAGGGAGCATAGTTCACGTTATCTGGTTTTCGCGATGCGCGTGCGATTATCAGCTTTCAGAATAGTTCAATAAATAATTGTTTACGCAGCAATGAACTTTATTCGTGCATGCGCGCGGAGTTTTGCTCAACAGAGAGAGCTTCGTCCCACGCAACTCGACACACACACGACGCAAGTATTAATGATCTCGAATATTTGCGAATATTTTTTTTGTCCGCGAAAAAAAAAAGGACTCGATACGAAACACTAATCATTTTTTTTTTTTTTTTTTTCTCCTTAAACGAAACAACTCGAGTCATAACATTGTTCACAACTACAAACAATTCCTCGTTCGATCGGTCTCGCTAGATAGGACTTTTTAATTCGATAAGAACGAATAAAACAAATTGCTAGCCGAGCGTGCGATAGATAAATCGACAAAGGAGAGAGAGAGAGAGAGAGAGAGAAAGGAAAGAAAAAAACGTCCACCGGATAAAATTATACGACGGAATTGCTGTTAACAAGCTGTTATTAACCGAGTCGAGGGAAGGGGAAAAAGATGGAAAACAAAAAAAAAAAAAAAAAAAAAGAAAAAAGAATGAAGATTAGAATAAAGTTAGAATCGCGACAGAGAAGGAAGAGGCAACATTCATCATGCAGATAAGAGAGTGGAATACTTACTTTGACAGTTGCCTGGCATCGCGTGCCTGAAGGAGGACAACGGATCCCGCGGCTGCAGTGGATTCGGCAGCGGTTGAAGGGGATTCGGCAAGGGTTGCAAGGGATCCACCAGCGGCGAGGCGAAAAACGGCCCTCCCCTTTGCGACGCGAACGCGAACGCGTGGAACTGCTGCTGCTGCCCTAAAAGAGACAACACTGCGATCAACCGTGCGCCTGTCCACTGGACCTCTAGTACTCGCATCGATCCTCCATCTCTTTTAACATATCCTTGTACGAAACAGAACGACTGTTATTTATCAAACTACTTAGCTTCAGAATTTTTTTAATTGGCTGATTTTTATCGCGGAGAATATAAGATACAAAGTGAAAGTCATCTAGTACAAGCTGCCATATCATAGTGATTTATATGATGGATCATAGTTACTTCTCAGAGGATTGAACTCTTTTTTTTTTTTTGTCAATCATTATACTGTGAGTAATCAAAATTGGTCTTAATTTTAGTGCTACGTGTTTTATATGTAGTTGACAAAATAATATTTTTCGGGAGATTTAAAAATGTGGTACTCTTTTGGAAAAAAAAAAATAAAGACAGAGAACTGTATTAAAATTATTAGAAAAGATGAAAACTTTGTAAATTCCAATCTCCAATTCAAAAGAAATTTCTTTTTTTCTTGTATAATCCGAATAAAACGACAGTTCTCCACAGTTCTCTTCTCGAAACGTTTCAAAAATTCTAGCATCAACCTAACTACTACGTTTCTTTCTCTCTCTCCATTCTCATTCGTTGGCTTTTACTTCCTACAACCATTAAAAAAATCCCAAGAAATTTCACCCTTTAACTCGAAAGAAAGTTCCAAAGTTTAACTTTTCAGGAAACGATTTTGGCAGCAGTTTGCGAGCGAAAATTTCTTCGCGTTTCTCTTCGAAACGTTCCGAAAAAAATCGTTCATCGACTTAACCACCACACCACCTCTCCCTCGAAAGTCCCTCCCCCGTTCTCGTTCAACGACTTTTATTTCCCCAGGCAACCTGTTCAACCGCCCCCGTCTTGCATCAGCCAGCTACATAACGAACCTCGCAGTTTCGAACGAACGAATATATATATATATATATAGCGTAGAGAGAAGAGGCGAATACGCCGAGGAGACAGGTCGAGGCAGCGATTCATTTTATTTCCCGGGTACGGTGTCGCCAACCCAATTAAAGACGTCCCAACAGGCGAGAGCGTGTCCTATCTCTGACGAGTCTGCCGCTACCCTGGTCAGGTTAGGCTAGCCTAGCCTGGCACCACACGTGGACCTGGCTTTCCTACGTGAACCGTCGAAATCTACGAACCAACACCGTTGGGAGAAGGCACCGGAGACCAAAGCCAGTAGGGAGTACAGAGAGAGAGAGAGAGAGAGAGAGAGAGAGAGAGAGAGAGAGAGAGATCCCCACGTCGTCCTGATAATCCAATCGAAGCCCTAATTCTAACTCGGCAACCCGAAATTCCCGCCGGTTTGCTGAATAGGGTACGACTGCACGATCCTGGGGACACAATGGGGGCGCGACGCCGGAACAGGGGACGGGGCTAACGAGATCTATCGTTAAACGACAGACCATCCTCCTCCGTACGCAGGAGGGAAACTGCCAACACGAAGAAATTTCGCTCCACCGCTTCCTTATGTCAAAGGTTGGACAGTCTCGCTGCTGGGTTGTGACCATTTTGTAGATTTGCGGAAGCCTTCTAGAGTTTTTACAACAAGGGTTTTTACGCTTCCGTGGGAAATTCGAAGGTGTAAAGTCAGCCTGAATTAGTGGAGTGCGGATTGAATGTGGAAAAATACACGAAATGTTCGAATTTTAGCGCCTTTCATAATGTCTGGCGCGCAAAGCAATTTTCTATTTCTTTAATTATTGAAAATACGAATTTGTCTAACAGTCGAATGTCTAGTAATGGAATAGAGAGAATATGTGAAGCATCCGAGACATGGTAAAGTGTGCCAGCTTTCAAAACCTGTTTAGATTAATTAATAATGTACAAACGTCTTAATATTGTAGGATGAAGTAATGAATTCAATATTCGTTGAACATCTAACGTTGAATAATTAATAAATTTCAAAAATGCTTCATCACTAGTAACGAACAATAATAATACAGGTATTTTCGTACAGTGGCATTTCACTTTTGTTCGATTCAATATTTAACTTTTGGCGCATAAGCAGAACGAGTTAAAGAAGAATAAATTCACTAGAAATGGCGTACATTCAACGTGAAATTTCAAGATATCCACAAGCTTCGCCAAATCAACCAAGTCTCTGTCACAAATCGTCCACCAGAAACTAAAGATTAGATGCATTGAAAGACCTAATAAGTAATATTGTATTAGATACACGTGCTCTAATACACGCGTGTATTTTAACGAGACGATAGACAGATACGTTTGAAATTACCGATACTCTACGAGGAGGTCTCCGATTTTCATCAAAGAACGGCCGAGAGCGAACGCAAAGAGGGCGAACTTCAAAGCGATCAGCGGCGGCCGCGAACAGCCATTTTTTCCCACCACATGGGGGTCCCCGCGAGCAGGAGACTCGGACCTTCTCCAGACTCTCTTCTCTTCTCTTCGTTACTATCGATTTCATCGGACACCCCTTTTGCGCGCCGCGATCGGCGACTGCCAGGGAATTTCTCGAGAGTTAGCAGCTGGCAGCGACAGCTCCTCATTTCGTTCCGTCGCCGCCGATCGACCCTCTCCCGTCGACACATCGCCGGCGAGGACACAGAAGGGGGCGGAGGGGGTGGAGGTCCGGCCATTTCGTGCTATTTTCTAACAAAAGCGGATCGCTCCGGACGAAAGGCTGTGTGTGCAACTTGGGATTTCGTTGGGTATCCAACTTCCGCCAGAGGTATCCTCCGCCGCCAACGCCGGAGAGAAACGCCTCTGTCCCTCTCTCTTTCTCTCTCTCTCTCTCTCTCTCTCTCTCTCTCTCTCTCGGTTACTCCCCTGGCCTCTCTGGCGCGTCTCTCGATCAATTTCCTTAGCCGTGCATCCTCTTTCTGCGGCGGCCACCTTTGGCTATGGGACGAGGGTAGAATGTGTAATGAATTGCTTGTTTAATTAATTACGACCCTCGAGCGGCGCCCGCCCGAGTTCGAAGCGAGCCGCGTTCGTTCCGGCATCGGAACGCCTGCCTGTTCCTTCCTAGCCGTGGCTTGGATAGAATTCATAGGGCTGATTTATTGCTGGTCGAGCGAAAAGAAGGGTCCCAATGATTCACAGACCGGATAGGAAATTTGTTTGCAACTCCATTTGCTTGTTTCGAGAGGGGGGCACTGGGGGGAGCTCGATATCTTCGTCGATATTCCACGATCGCGTGTAAAAATTATTTCACGACTGATAAGTGATATTTGTCAATGATTAATATTCATTTAACTCATGAACCATTTGCCGCAGTTGCAAATTTACAACGTTCTGGATTTTTTAATTTTAAGCTTGCATCGGTTGAAAAAGTTAAGGCATTTAAGAGTCTAATTATCCTGATACTAACGTAAGACAAAAGTAAGTTGGAAGCTTATAATACAGTACTCTGCATTATTAATTCTCAGTTGGAAAAAAATTGAGAATTTGAGGATTGAAACTTGAAGCTGAAATGAACATATTATTACAAATTACGAATTATTAATCTACGAATTAGTATTCGCGTGGAACTACTACATTCTTCAAATAAAGTTTGAACGTTCCCCTAATGCAGTAAAAGCTAACCGTAATGTTAAAAGTGGATTTTAAAAGGAAAAGAGATAGTCTGCCATTGATGTCAAAAAATTAATTAAAAGTATTTATTAACAACAATCAACTAAAAATTTTAATCGTAATGATTATAACTTTATTTTTGTAATAGTCAAAACACAAATGACGAGTAAACATTAATAAGAAAATAGCAACGATATTCTTAGAATCGTTTCGTTCACGTTACATCGCGAAGAACTATAAAAATTAGATAGTCGAGCTGTGTGAAACGACAACTTTTCCTTCCAACTGCGTGATTAAGGACGTGTTGATGAAACAGAACAGAACGAGCCGAGCTCTAAACAAGACCTCAAAGGACTAATTGCATTTAATTTAGAAAAAGGAAACCAGAAGAGAGAAAAAAGGGGGGGGGGAGCTAATACGTATGTCTTTGAATCCGTTTCGCCGGCGTCGGAGGATGTAGGCGTAATAAAATTAGGGAGCGTGTCAAAGACGAGGAAACGAGGACCGACGGTTTAAAGAAACGCCGATCGACCACCCACAACATGTAACCCTTTTATCTCGTGCCGCGTCCCTTCCCGCGGATCCCTTTATTTCGAGTGAAAACATTTTCTTTCCAGCAGATGCAACGCGCCGCTCATTTTTTATAGGCGTCGGAAAAAGTCCATGCGGTTTTCACGTTGGCAATCAACTGACAATAAAATCGAGTCTCAATCGGTGATCTGCGAGTACAATTTTCTTCTGTTACTATCGGCAGAGAATCTGATTTTACGAGCTACAACGAGGTATAATTTTTCAATCATTCTAGTGCGGGCTGTTAATAATAATATTATAATAAGTAAAACTAACATTGAGGAAAATTTTGTACATTTGTGAGAAATTTAAAATTGCAAAAATGCAAAATGGAGAAAAATATATACGAAATATTCAAAGTAGGTTTAATCAGTCGAGTTTTTTAAAAAGTTGAAAAATTTGCATGAGTATCCGTTGTCTAATAATAAATATTATGCGGTTACAACTGATCGTAGTTTTTATAAATTTCCAGAGATTTGAGCGATTTTGCGTAAATATATAAGTTATAAACTTCAACTTTTTTGACAACAGCTATGTATTTCAATCATAGAGTAATAATGGCAGTAAGTATAATCTACAAAGTTATAATATAAACTATCGCGTAGTTTTCAATAATTTGAATATTTCATTGCGTATGTGAGATTAAAGACGAGCCGCGAAAGAATGAGATAAGAGAATCTCTGATAACGAGTGATACACAGGTTTTAGATATTTTACGACGATGATTTCGTGGGTGGTCTAAACAGACGAGCGGATGTGCACGATACTACATGATATACAACAATGTTACACTGGCTATTTTCGACGTGCAAAGAGTGCAAATGCTTGCAAGTATTAATTTAAAGTACGATATTTCTAGAAAGAGCCAGATCGTTCGCTTTATAAACAGTTAAGAGTCAGATTTAACAATAGTCTGATCGTCGACAAGCAATTTTACTACTAATTACTTTAAATGCTAATTACCTAAAATGTGAAATAATTAAAGAAATACTACCAACAGTGAACGATTAAAAATTTGGATTGAAATAATAATAATTTTCTGCTGAATCTTAATAATGAGTAATAATACTTACATTCAGTTGTAAAATAATAAAATTCTTATTCAAAATCTCTTGATATATCTCTGCATAATGAATGCGAATGATCAGCTACAAATACACTTTTTTCTTTAAGTTAATTTTTACCAATGAATCACTGTATATTGTGTTGTTAGTATTTTGATGTATTATTCAATTATTGTTTTTTTTCTATATATAATATATATATCTTAATTGAAAAGATAATACCAATAATTAATGGTAATATATTTCTACTAGTGTGATTCTACTTGTAAGAACTCATTGGAAGACAGATATATTATTAAAATTCGTATAACATAAATGCTCTTTGTAGATTTTTCGTTCCTTCAGAAGAATTCAGAGTTGAAACAAGTAGTACATTCAACCAACAAAAATTGACTTAATCAAGTACCGGCTAAAATCCGACTCGAATAAATTGATTTCAAACAAATGGAACTCCTTCATTTGATCAAATTCACAGAAACAAAAAAAAAAAAAAAAAAAAAAAAAAAGAGTTCACCTTAAATTCATATTTCACCAACAAGAATTTATTTAATCGAACGATTAAACCGACTATTGACTAAAATTTGATCCGAATAGATGTAACAACTCCACCGTATTTACACTCCATTATTTAATCAAATTCGTGAAAGAGCAACGAACTTACAGAAAAACCCACTAACCAAACATCCATCAATATCCAACGATCATTCCCTCCCCCGCATATCAAACTCGATAGCTCAATCTCGGCGGCTCGCGTCTGGGATATAGATTTACAAACACCGAGAAAGGGGCGGTAAATTTCGATTCCCCGACGTGATACTCCGCCTCCGTTCGACGGTGTGCAACACCGGGGTAGATGTTCCGAAGGAACGAGCAAGCCCGCCGACACACGTCGCCGCGAAATAACCGACGGCTACGAGGGGGGTAATTGTGTGTCTGGAAGGTGGCGAGAGGGAACGCGTTCTACTCGAAGGAGGTGGGTTCTTCCTTCCTTTCACCCTCTCCCGCTCAACCCTCTCGTGGGCAGCTCCTCGCTCAGCGAGACGGCAAACTTCGGAGGCGTCGCACAATATCTCCGCGGCTAAACGCCGCAGCCCTTTATCAATGTTATGGCGGCCGGCCGCGGTTATAAATAATGGCAAATGCGCGAAACTTAGCCCAGAACCGCACCCACATCGTCCCCCACCCACCCCCTCGAGGCCATTTCGAACCTGCGGCTTTCGAACGCCTGCCGCCACCGCGTCGCGAGTTACGCGACCTATTATTGGTCTCCCTTCTTCTTTTTTCCTTTCCTGTTTTCATTTTTGGAAGATTTAACCCTTTTAGTCTGCCGATCGTGTCGATTTGAGACATTTTTCTTATTATTGTAAGAAATGTTATATACAGGTGTTCGTAATAATATTACATACAGTAATATATATAATATATGTATTCGATATTTTTTTAACATGTAACATATAACTGAATTTAGGTAGAAGATTCTTTCTATTACGTAGTGTTCTGGTTAATATTCTTTTTTGGACATTTTATACGTATTGGCAAATCATTGTGCACTGTGTATGTAGAAATTTGCACCTTCAAATTTTTCATAAATGTGTAAGAATTCGTAAGTTATAGACAATATAATATTTTTGATAACGCTGTCAGAGTTGCAAATACGTGATTTGTACGCGACAGTAGGATTTATGTGAACTCTACGCGCAATTGAATATAGAAACTCGATTCGTTTATTGCAAATAAAAGAAATGTGCGAATTTAATTAATTATTCCATTATTCTTTATTTGACAAATATATATTCCAAACGACAGAAGATTTTAAAAGTTTCCAGAGATATCACGAATTCGAAAGTCGATTTGAAATCGAATGTTCAAACGCAGTATCCCAGAATTGAAGAATTGGAAGAACTCGGTTGAATAATTTGTCCACGATAAGCTGTACAATTCACTTCTATGTCGAAAATCGAAAAATTTCGAATCAACAGACTTTCGCCAACGTAAATGCAAACCAACGAAATTAAAAACCGACGTAACGGATATTTCGCAGAGAAGGAAAAATCAATAGAAGCATCCCTTGGTGCCTCTGAGTCTTAGCGCTAGTGGAATGTGGATAATTTAAATAATAAATAAGAATATATAGCAATGCTTACAGTGATACTCACTGGTCTTGGATCGCGGTTCTCGCGGCCCATCCACAGTTACTTTAATGGCCTTCGTGTACGTGGCGACTTGCGGTGGCGTCGTGGACACGGTGATGGTCAACGTGAAGCTCTTCCCTGCAACCACAACGCACAAGAATGTTATTTACGAAAGCATTTCTTTTTTCTCTCCCTCTCTCTTTTCTTTCTTTCTTTTTTTTTTTTTTTTTTTTTAATCATCATAGATTGAAACAGAAGTTCGCAAACGCGACTGGCCGACCGAAACTCCGGTAGTAACCAAATTAACCGTCGGTAATGTATCGAGGGCGTCGTCGACGGTGATGGTGGCCAGCCAACGCGACCGACCACCACCTATGGGGGTGGTTGCGTCCAGTTATGTTAAAAAGCCTATTAGGTAGCTAACGACGAAAAACAACCCCCTCTTTACGCTACATAACTCTCACGGAAGATGGATATCTGTTTTTCGATTTTGCAATTTTCCTACTTTTCTTTTTTTATTGGAAATTTGTCAATGCAGTTTTAATTTCATACTCACGAATTGTTTCTTTGATACTTAGGAGGATAGGATAACATACAGATCGTGGATTTTTACAAAACTTTAAACTGTATCCACATTTTTAAATCATTTCCACAAAAGTGTAAATTTGCATAAAAATCCTCAATTTAATTTTATTTTATTGAATCTTCGATCAAATTATTCATACTTAAATGTTACTGAAATCATGAGCAATTTTTTAACAGAACCAAGAATCAAAAGAAGTTTCTAAAAAACTAGAATTTTATGCTGCATTTATATCATTACTGAACTCAAGATATCAACGTTTCGAAGAATTAAAATTTTGTTATCACGTAGTGGTTGAATTCGAAAGCGATGTTCGCTGATCGAACACGGGATCGCAAATGACAGGGGTGATATCTTCGGAATCACGCGAGGGATGTTTCGATAAAACGCTCGTTAAAGAGGGGACAATGTCGCGTTGAAAAAAGAAGGAAAAAAAAAAGTAGCGTCACGCAGAACACGGTGGTTGCACACGCAGAGGTTCACCGCAATTCCACGTGCACCCTCTTTCACTCTTTCTCTCGTCCTCATCGTTTCTCATCCTGAGTGGATCACTGATCGCGTGGCTTTTTCTATTCCACCCTTCCTAACACCCTACACGATTCTAAAAGTGAATCACTGTTATCTGCCATACGTGTTTCACACGAACTCGTGTCGCGCTATTACGTTTGATTCTTTTATAAACTTCGATATTCTTCTAGTGAAAAACTAAAAAGAAAGAAGAAGAAATGAATGAAAAAGAAATGAAAAAAAGAGAAAAAAATGATTGATAATTATTATCAACCCTTGTTCTCTAAAGTCTTTGAGTAAATTTTTCTGGAACAAACATTTATACGAAATATATAACATTTTTTTATTTCACTCTTTGCTTTCAAGAGAATGGAATTTGAAAATCTATCAGGTAAGTGAACTTGAATTTAGTCAAGGAGTAAAAATTTGAGTGAATGCAAAAATAAATGAAGAACGTAGAATAAAATTTTTCCATTTAAAATCCTATTTTCAAGAAAATACTGTTTGAACATTTTTACTTAAGAGCGTTTAAAGAATTTTCATATTTAATCTTTAATTTCTGTATAATAATTCAAATACACTTGGGAAATATTTTCCAAGTATATCCTCTCACTCGAATTAATATTAATGCAACAGTATTTTAATTAGTAACGTTAATAAACTAGCGAACAAGTTTCAATTTCAATTACATCTTTATAAATTTCATTCCAATCATCTTTACAAATCAGTTTCAATCACGTCTATATAAATTTGCAACTTCGCGACGAACCAAGACCTACAATATCCACAATTTCGTTCGACTTAAAATTATAATTAGTAAAATTCTGCCAGTAATACTAATTCACAAGCTAATTTACACATCACCGGAAGAAAGCTGCAAACCCTGTCATCCATCGAACACACTACGTAACATCGGCCGTAAAAAGTTTCGTTCTGGAAATTCGAGGAAACGCCTTGCAGTCAGTTAAAACTTCTTCCCTCTCACGACGTCCGTAAGATTACCCCTGGTGAAAGGCAGAAAGAAAGGGAGAAAGTATCGAGGGAATAATGGCGAGTGTCGAGCGTGGCCACACGGTGGTTCACCACGCGAGCTTCTCGTTTTCGAGCGGAGAGAATCGCGTCAGTTTGTTGCAAGTCACGGCATCCTCTATGGCCCCTAACCCTAGCAAAACCTTGGTTTTCACCTATTGGTAGAGTTGGTGGTTCCACGGGCAACTCGGCACACGTAGGTATCACCCTTGGTGCCAGTCGCCGCGGAACCATTAAAAGTCACCCCCAATAACCTCACCCTTTCTTTCTGCGTTCTGCGATCCTCGACGAGCAACCTTTTCTTACCTCCCTCCATCCGAAGTTCGATTTTTCAACCTGTCCGTTTATTACACTTTTGTTTAGGAAGCACCTGCGCCGTGTAATTTGAAGATATAATTGTTTATTGGAAGTGGAAGAAAATACTGCGTGCATGAGAGATTGGAAAATTGAAATCACTGCGCTCAATGTAATGAAAAATTTTCGCGTGTAACATTAATTTTGAAATTTAAAAATACACGAGATATTCAATAGAAGTGTTTAAATTCCCAATTACTTATTGCATTAATATCTATCCTAACTAATTATCGATTTAGGAAATATTTTAGAATGCCTACGTATATATCCAAATTAGTTCCAAATGTAAATTTCTGAGAAAACAGAGTTTACTTTTGTACATCACAGTAGTTGTATTTTCAAATAATTATCAAAATATATAGTATCAATAAAAATTTCACAGTACTTCGTACAACACCGTTTCTATTTGTACAAGAAATTGAAATTTCTTCTTCCGAATTTCGTGCGGATGTCGATTGACAATGGAAAGTAGGCGAACAAACGATTGGACGTCATTAACATTAAGTGTTTAAATTGAATTGGCGTTGGCTGCGAGTGAAAAGGAAGAAAAAAAAAAGAACTGAAAAAAGACGGTGAATGGAAGTGTGTCGAGATCGATTTCCTGATAATGCTCGTTAACATACGATTCTCAGGCAAAATGTGAACCGGTACGTGTACACGGGCGAGCAGAACGGTATAGATTGTTGCGGGGCCGTTGTCGAGCTAACTAATTAATTTCAATTTTCCCCAAACGAATCGCAAATGCGCCATTGTACGCTGATAACGAATTGATTATGGTCAGGATGAACTGCCGTCAGCGAGAATCGGTCGCCTTTCCTCCAAAATCACCGTTTTCCCCTGAAATGCACCTGAATAATGATCCAGAACGTTCGATGGAAAAATGATTACGGACAACAAAGATTATATAACAATATACATATATATATATATATATCTGCGTATTATAAAATATACGCAGTAAATAGCAGACTATAATGCGACTTATTTTCAATACTCACTTCTTATAGCATATAGCAAAACTTTTTAATTACTCCATATTAATGTTGATACTTTAATTAAAATATTAATAACATTATTTCACTGTTTATTAAATTATATTAATTATATAATGTTATGTACATAATGTAATATATTTATATAATATTTATATAATATATATTTTAATCATTTTAATAGTAACAGTATTGATACATATTTTTTTCGGAAATTTATTCTGTAAAATGTTATTTTATTTTTCTAATACTGAGACAAATATTATTTTCCCAAGATTGTGATAATCTGATAGATAATAGAAGAAAATAATAAATGAGAAATAACTTCATTCAGTTTATCAGTTACTGTTACTATACTTTAAACACTTTTTATATTTTCTCATATTTTTTACATTAAATATATTCTTCTACATTTGCTTTATATTTGTATTTTTCAATATCCCGTGCGATTCGGTGTGTCTAACCATAAGCTAAATTTTACTCGTATACAAATGAACGTTCCGTTCCCTCCTCTTTCCTGGTTTTTAATGTTTTTGAAGAAGCCAGAATACGATATTACAGAGAAATCTTGTAATATCGACGATAAGCTATAGCTCTATTCCCGCACGTTCGTCTGTAATGCCAGCTCCATCGTGGCAAGATCTGGTTCGCTTCACCCCCTTCAACCCTAAGCTCTGTAACGAGATAGATCATTTGGGCGCTTATAGTTTCAACCCTACGAGCAGACGGATACCGTTCAACTTTCCACTCGCGAATAAACCTACGTAACAATATCTTGTCTAGCGACGGAATTTCATAGCAAGTTGTGTCCAAATTTGCAGAATTTTCGTATTTTTGTCCGTACAATTATTTCGAATTTTTCTTTTTTTTTTTTCTTTTGTTTAGAAGAGAACGACGTCCAAGGTTTTATGAATAGACAGTAATTACTAGAAGTGTGCGAGAACCCGAAATATTGGGTCGGGTCGAGAATACGAAATTTTTTCAGGATTGGGACGGGTACACGAAAATTTGAGATTCTCGAATAATATAAATTTTGAAATTCTTAAATAATTCGTTAAAACCCACACCTATATCGAAAGGTCGCAGATCTAAAACCATCATTCGAGCAATTCCTTCTGTTACATTTTTTGGTTTAACAATCTTTCGCGTATCATTTTGTACGTGCGACAAATTTTATATCGATTCAGTTTCTTTTCTAGTACATATACTAATGTTTGGATGTATATGCTTCAAATAGCGTAAGAAACCAGTAATATTTGCATACTTAGTTTTAAATTCATGGTGACAATGCGTGCATTCCGCCTTTGTATCATTTTTTTCTTGAAAATATTCCCGAACAAAGCTTCTCTTTACCTTCTTTCTTTGCACGATATCTTCTGCACCACTTTCTGCTACCACAACTTTACTCTCACTATCACTCGACACTTTTTTTAAAGATTTTTAATCTTTATTAAATTCACACAGCGTTTGAAATATACGTCTGAACTTCCCGAATTTCATAGCAATACTGCTCAACAGCGTACATAATGTCCAAATACTAAGCACGCAGTGACACGTTTGTATACATCAGGTCACACGATTCTTAGAATCCGTGCTTCCAATAATTTCACGAAAACTGGCAGAAGAAATTGAACTGTGTATTTACATATTTTGCAGGCTGCTGTACAGAGTAGTTCGAGAAACGATAGCCGAATTTTCGAAATTTTCGAAAATCTCGATTCCTTCGTCCCGACCATCAGGTTCCCGATATTTTCTCGCACACCCCTAGTAATTACGTTTTTTTTGGAGACAAAACACTTGTTTCAACCCTCTTGTTTTAACTTCATTGTTCTAGAAATTTCTCCATCACGTACACAGAGAGCAATTTTTGAATTTATTACATCAAAAGTCAAAAGCTGATCAACTTTATAAATTGTCCGAAGTTTGTAATTTATTATTTTCTAATTTAGAATGTGTAAGGTGTGTAACAAGTACCTTTGCATTTCTTTAGAAAGTATCAAAAATCTAGTATCAACAATTTCCTTAGAAATTATATACCACGTCTAAGATATAATTATTAATTATTAACAACGTACATATAATTATAAAAAAATTCCATATATATTTTAATGACCGCTCGCGAACAAAATTTTCCCAAATATTGAAGAAAGAATTAATACTCACAATATTCTATTTTTCTATTAAACAATTATAATCGTCCGTTACACCTGCTATAAGTAATTGTAATATTTGTTGAACTACAACACCTGGAAGCTTATTAAATAATCTAATACTTGTCGTCAGTTGGTCAATTCTCTTTGAGGGCGGTTCGTTTAATCTCGAAAGAAAACTATTCCTTATTTTACAACAATTTGAGGGCAGTTCGTTTTCTCTCGAATGAAAACTATTCCTTTTACAACAATTTCCACCTTCAACGGTGAAACAATACGAAAGCTAGCCTATCTTCGTCACACGCGCAGAGAATGTTTTCGAGTTCGACAAACGGCAGGATCATTAGGGATTCGCCGGAGAGAGTTCGGCGCGCGTTCGGTTCTACCAGGGAATATTCAAGGAGCCAGGGTGTCGCAGAAATCCTGACGAGAGACACTTCTCTTACATTCTTCATCCTAGCTTATGTTAATTCCGCGCTCGACGAAAACAATTGAGAGCTAATCCCAGACAAATGACTGACGCGCTTCCGTGAGCTCGAGGGTGGATTCGCCTCCCTCGCGCGTTGTCGGATAGAAAATTCGGGTATTTCATGGTTTCGAACGATCCCCCGCCCCTTCGCTTTCCAACCCTAATTCCGCCTTTAAATCCATTCTACCGTACGATTTGCGATTCCAATACAAAATAAACTAGCTTAACTGCGACTGACAATAAGGATATTGCCAGTCACTGATATAATCGAGGTATAATGAATAACTATGTGATTTATTTCTGAGGGGGATATGTTTGAATTACTGAACGCCATCACTTGTTAATTACGAGGTCTGCCTGTTCTGAAATTCATTTAACTGTTCCTCCTGCGATTTCGATACAAAAAATAAATTACCTTAACTGTGACTGCTCGTAGGAATGTAAAAAATATATAAAATATATAAATGATACGTTTTTGTTGATAATTAATGCTCCACTGGATAATTGAAATGTTGATAAAGGAGTGTAGTTACTAACTATGTCGTTCATTAAAATGTTTCACGATTATTTTAATGCACCATTATCTCCAAAAATATTCTATTATACCATTTTTATATTAATCATCCATAGAATACCATTTCTCAATAAAAGCACACTAAAACGACGTATAATTCCAATTTAATATCCACAAATGTATCCAATCTAACCGCAGTAACCTGCCAAACCTCGGAAAAAATCCAATATCCACGATGCTCTAATAATTAAATGAAATTTAAAAAAAAAACAGAATGAAAATAAAAGAAAACAAATAATTTAGCAATCAAAAAGAGAAACTCTAACGACAAAGGCCTACCTCAACATCCAACCCACGAAACGAAGAATCCGGACAGAGATGTTCGAACTAGGTCAAAAGGTGTTATCTAATCAACCAGGCACGAAACAACCCTAATAACGTTAATTAAAATCCAAGTGAAACCTCAATTAATATCGGCCATCCCTGTTTCCAGGGGCGTCGGCTCTTTTCAAGCCCCTCTTCCACGCGAAAACGAGCCAGCGTTCTCCAACGGTTGGGGAGGACGAGGCTCGTAAGAAGGAAAGTAAAGAGGAGGTTGCTCGGCAGCGGTGCGGACAAATAAAACCCATTACCCATCCCCAAAGACGGTCGTCGCCGTCGTCGTCGTCGTCGTCGTCTCCTCGAGTTCGGCTGGCACACCAATCAACGACACCGTTAGCGAAACACACCCTAGCGAAACGTCCAATTTCGAGCGAGGTGGCGACTCTTTTCCACTCGGGGAAAGAAGCCGAGGGTCGTCTCGAAGACGTCCACGACCTACCCTTACTATTCGGTGCTCGCCGAATTCTTTGAGCCTTCGTTCAGTCACCCTCCATGGTTTTCTTCCGTAACGCGGCTTGTCAACGCGAAGATCAACGACTCCGCCGGAGTTTAGTGAATGGCGAAGAAGAAAGGGGCGGATTCGTTGACGAACTAATTTCACGAGTTTGCCGGTACTTCGTGAGATGGTTGTTTAACTGCTACTGTTGCGAGTGTTCTTAAGAGAGAGAGAGAGAGAGAGAGAGAGAGTTGAGTATCACAGTGACGCATCAGAGTAGAATGAATAGCTGATATAAGCATTGATTTGTTGCTTGAAAAGAATTTAATACGAAGATGACGTCGTTGAGAGTGACGTAATTTAAATTTTGGAGGAAAGGATTTTTAAAAATTAGATTAGTCGAAGCATCACTGTGAGAGTGATAAAATAACACTATCAGGATAGTAATGGAATTGTCCCTCGACGCAAAACTGATGGAATTATATGTATGTGTGACACATGTTTTACGTGATGTAGTTCATCTTGTGTTCGATAAGAGCAAATTGGAAATTTTTGGAGTTGCGTCACTGCCAATGCCAGGCAACGATACTTTAAAAATTATTGATTACAAGAAGACAAAATAAAATCTGACAATTAATCGAAAAAGTTTCAGAAAAACATTGCTCGAATCTTAACGTTATTAAAAATTTAATAGACTTAAAAAACTACATATGAACGAATTAAAATTTTAAGGAAAAGGAGAAATTTTTTATATTCTTCGTTGGAAAAGACACTTGATACTTTTTTCTCAAAAAAATTATTCTACTTTTGCTCTATAATTTCTACCGCTGACTATGAAAAATTTGGACTATGGAAGTATCCCCTTGATTTTAATTTTTCCAAGTGAAACACTCGTAGGATTTAACGATATCTTAATATTTCTTCCTAGAAAAACTACTCGAAACGACACTTGCAGGATCTAAATTCTAATTTTATTTTATTTTAGTAACATGTCTTTGGTAACATGAAACTTGTAAAAATATCCTAGTATAATTGCAGCTTTTCACAAAGAAAAATAATTTTAGTTTAAGATCGATATTGAGATGGGAGTTTTAATGTGTTGTCGGATCAAAGACTCACCTCTGCCACTTCTGCCGACGAACCTAAGATCGTTGAACTTGGCCACCTGGTTCTTCATCAGAGCAGTCGAGTTTCTCAGCTCAGCACAGCAGTTCTCGTCGTTACCAGCACGAACGGTGACCAAAGTGCCATCGCCGACCTCGCCAAGAGCGACCACCTTGAAGGCTACTGGAAGGGTCTTGTTGGACCTCCAGTGAGCTGGCAACACGCTGCAGACCAAGTGAGGAGAACCTGTAATAGAATTAAACATACCGAATCTAGCGACTGGAAGCTGGAAACTTAATACAATTAGGCATCTAATTTCTCTAGTACAATTATTCTTTGTTCAAACTTCATATTAATTTCTCCATTACTAAACTGCGGATTTTTGTGCATTTGTGGCAAATAAAAAACGCTAATAATGTGGTGATTTTTGTAACACTTAATGGGTGAAATAAATCTTTATTATTCATCATGGATTCCATTTCTTTAATTATTGTATTGATGAAAATATAACGCTGTAAAAAAATTCGTCTATTGGTTATAATTGAAAAGACACTTGTAAAAATGCTTTCTGATTAATTATTAAAATTAATATTGTTTTAGGATAAGATATTATTAAAATACAAGTATTATTTTATAAATTGACTGTAACTCCTGAAATTTTCTAATATTTTTTTTAAATATATATCTTGCATATATCTTTTTCTTTAAGATTCAGTGATATAAATCGTTGTAAGTCAGACATTTCATCAAACAACGAACTTAAACAATTCCGCGGATCTTTATGGATCTTTATTTAACAAGAAAATTAAACACACGTTGAAATTTACACAAAATATCCAAAGTACAGTTAACTAATTAATGAATTTAGTAAATGAAACAAATTCTTGTTTGGTTTCAATATTTTTCATTAAGAGAAGAACGTGTAAACTGTATAACTGAAATTTATGTAATGAATCACTGTTTAAAATTTTTCTTCAATATCAACTAAAATTTTGTTCTAGTTCAAATTCAATTGACTGACTCTGTCAAGTCATACTTTCTTCTAACGTTAGATATTTCTTAAAAAGATATTCCAAAGATTGATTCATCACTGTATCTTGTAATTTTACGAAATCTCTTGTAAATACTTGCAATCTACGACTTTTCTAAGATTATTTATACAATTTACAATTAATGGGACATATTTCCAAAAATTAAACCACAAATATTACTTCCCCGAATGCGTGAAAATCCGTAGTACGTCCATGATTTCTCTCAAAAGCTACACATTTTTCTAATGTCAGATCTCTCTTAGAGAGAAATCCCAAGGATTGATTCATTACTGTATCTTGCATCAATTTTGTTACTAAATCTCAAGTAACAACTGTAATCTATATTTCTACGATTACTCGTATAACGCACAATTAGTAGAACGTATTTTCAAGAACGACAAACGACAAACATTACTGCCGCGAATGCGAATGCGTGAAAATCGGCAGGACGTCGATGGTTGCTCTCAATCGTAAATACCTGTCCGTACGAGTTCTCCAGGATGCTCGCTGACGAAGTCACCGAGGGTCCTCTCGGCGAGGATGTCGCTGGTCATCTTGGTGTAGGCATCGGTCAAAGGAGAAACGCCTGACTCCGGCGAGGCGGCAGCGCCAGGAGCCGAGGCCCCTGTCAACTGCATCCTGTCGCTGGTTCCGCCGCTCTCGCTAGGAGCACTCCCTGTTCCACAGCTCGACTCGTTGCTGGACCCCCTCACCGAGCCAGCGCCGCTTCCGGATACCGTGCTTCCGCCACCGCCGCCGTTGCAACGGCCGAATATATCCATAGGCAGTCAGAACGCCGGATGATACATCCTTCCATTCGGTTCACTGCTCGAGCTTCCCGGCCCTTACGACGATCCTCGGCTGCTTCAACTTTCCCCCGGGTCAAGCTTCGTCGTTACCTGACATGATGCTACCCGACGCTCGACGATTCGTTCTTTCGACCCGAGTTGAAAACAGGTAGCTCTTCTCTATCAGCAGAGAAGGTCTAGAGCAACATTTGGCAATTTTTCTTTCGTCTTTTTCTTTTTTAAGATAACTTCTTTTGCGATTCTCGAGATGAATCTGATATACTTTGCAACTCCTTCTTTCGGAAATTTTGGTTTGGTTGGAAGGTTTGAAGAGTTTGACTGCGCTGAAAGTTGTTTCTGGTGGTCTTGCAGATAGACAGAATCTTCCTGTTTCTCCTTCTTTCTTGTTAGGAGATTTGAAGTGATCTTTAGGATATATTTCAGGTTGGTCTTTGCAGATGTGAAGTTTGAACGTGATCTTGTTGAGCTTTCTTGATTTGTTGGAATTCGGCGTATGTTAGGGTTAAACAGTCCGCTAATCAAGGAGTACTATTTACAGAAAATTTTCCCTTGTGGTGACCAAGAGTTACGAGATACGATTTTCTCGTCCTTCAATGAAAATACCAGAAGCATCTAAAGAGATCTTCAGTCTCCTGATTTTACCTGTAACCAAGAAAATTCAGGCATGATCAGAGACAGATCTTCTAGAAGAACGAGCTTTTATTATACTCTGGTTACTACTTTCGACGATTCGATTATTTTTGAAAGGACAACTTTTAAATCGATTATTTTAGATGAAACAATTTGCCTATGGACTTGATTTTGGCAGAGAATATATAGGGAATGATGCGAGAGAAAAATATCAAAGTACTGGTATTTCATTAATTGATTTAAATAATAATTTACTATTTCTTTCCACTATACGACGAATAATTGATTAAAAATTAAGAGAGTTTTTGTAAGATCGTGTATTAGATGATAGAAAGAATTCGAATTCTTTGACAATCTAATCAAATAAATTCTGAAACGTGACGAAGACTATAAAGACAGAAATTTGCACAAGCATCTACACTCTATAAGACTTTCAATACTTTCAATACTCAAGATGATCGAGACTTTTAAGACTCTGAAAACGATCAAGAGACTTTCCAGACTTCTAAGAGAGAAACAAGAGATTTTCGATTCAATTTGCGAAACACGTTCAAAGCGATTCTCGTCGATCGTACGACACAAATTCCAAACGATACCAATTTTTTTTCAGACTGCATCGCGGGTTATCTCAAGTGCGTCATCGCGACAAAAGTCGTGCGACAAAGGCCCGGAGAGGAATACCAGCCATCTCCTAGAAGCGTGGTCAAAGGCTACGAGAGGAAGGGTTCGGTCTCCCAGGAGAGCCTGCTAGAGAGAGAGTCAGATCGGGGAGTGCCGCCATCGCCGATGCGACCAACCCTTCCGCTTCTAATCCATTTAACGACGGCTCGCAAGCTCCTTTATCTCTCGGCGAGCGTCCCCTTCTCGGGCTCGATCGAGCCTCGAAACGACAGGCGACAGACCCTGAAGCAATCGGGACGCGATGCCGATAGTGAAAACGCAGGGAAACGCGTGCACCGAGCAACGTAACGAGGAAAAACGTGGGTGAATAAAACGGGGAGAGAATGAAACGCCGGGCGACGAGCGGCCCCGTAGGAGGAAACGAGACGAGACTCGGGAGAGTGGTTGACACGGACAGGAACACGACTCGCACACTTTTCACGCGGGCCGGCCCGGTGACGTCACCGTTCATTCAGTAATTTTTGCGCACGTCACCGGGGCTGACACACCGGATCCAGGTGGTTCCAGGAGGGGTTGGACCAGCCCCGGTGGTGGGGACGGAAAAAATAGGGGAAAAAGAACGCCCGCCGGTAGGCAACCCCCACACACGCCACATGGATATCCCAACCCCTACGCACGTAACAACCGCGTGTCAAAGTGCACGTGGCACGTTACCACGTTGTTCTGTCAGTGCCAGAGAGGCTGGCATCGCGCCGTCAGACACCGCCGGGATTCGTTGATCGTTCAGACACTCGGACGCTCGCTTCCGATCGGCCACTTGTCATCGAAAGCTGTCATGCGATTTCGTAGAACATTGCCGAACGACGATGGGTGGCTCGCGTCTGATTGTTCGTTGATTTGTATTCCTTAGATGGACGTAACTTTGGACTAGTCTAGATTCGTTAATGAGGGATTTTGTAGGAAAGAGTCCTTCGAGAAGCTGGTTTCGACGAAGGTCCGAAGTGGAGTTTACGAACGCAGGTTTTCAGACTTTTGAATCATTGACATCGACGTTGTTGAATTAATCAATCTGCTTTGAACTGTCGTCACTGTCTTTGGACGTAGACTCTCAAGTATATGAAAATTTTACGCTTGACGAAAATTTGTTTTCGAAATAGAGTTTTCAGAATTACTAGACTGAATTATCGACAATCCTAATGCAGAGTTCTGAGTGAGAATTTTGACCAAAAGTCCTTCAACGAGCCGAGAGGAGAATTTCGAAGCCTGAGATCGAATCTGCGAGTCATCGATGCTGATACGAAAATCCTTCAATAATCTAAAGTCACTTGACTTTGAAAGGTTTAATAAAGTGAAGTTCTCGGATCAATTCTGTGATCCACATTAGTGTACAATCAATTTACGAGAGGAATTTCGATATTCAAGAAGGTGCAACTGTTCGAATCGTTGGATCGATTCACTCTGGCCGCGTATTCCGTAACATTTAAAAGAAACTTTCATCGACGAGTCCCTTGGATAGAAGCTTACGATTAGAGGCGACGAGAGGCGACGACGTTGGCGAGGATCGAGGGGAGAAGAATCTTTACGACCCTCCTGGAAGAACGACACGGCGACGGATAAGATTCTCGCTTAACTTCGCATTCAAATCTCTTGCTGGGCCACTCTCGCGTTCGCACTTCCGGCGAAAATATCTCGACCGATTCTTCTCAGTACCACCGCGGCAATGACGAAAGCTTCTCTCGTACCAACGAAGCAACTTCTGACGTTGCTTCTTGAATCAACGACGTACCGATGACCTTCTGCCACGAAGGAATTCGAGGAATTCCCAATTTTCCCGTGAAAATCGAATCCAATCGAGACAATCACGAGTTCCACTGAAAGAAATCGCACTCACTGTCTGTCCGTGGCAACCGTCGGACTGTCACTGCCTTCACGGCAAATCTCACTCGAATCCAACTTTGCGCTCACTAAAATCTTCTCCGGAGTCGTCAAGTCGAGAACGAGAACGAGAAACGATAATTTCACGCGTTGGTACCATGTTAAAACAACGTTCGTCGAACGATTTCGGTGCACTGAAATCCCGCCGACGATAGTCCCGACAGACGCTTCGACTCTGCGTAATCGATCTTCAAAGTCTCAAGTATGTTCGGCGAGAATGTCGAATATTCTTCGGGTGCGACGATCCCCGTCGATCCGAAGGGAGATCTCGAAACGCGGTGTTTTGGTAAGCGAGACTGGTCTCTGGGAATACCCGTCGGGGCCACTAACTATAATTTCGGCGGTTCGTGTGAGGCAACAGCCGTTGACGCACTGGTCCATGCCAACACACGCAGCATCCCTTTCCCCTTTCCTGGTTCCTCTCACACCCCGTGGGCAACCCCACTCCTTCCGCGAGCGTTCGTCTCGGTTCGTCGCACCACCATCTTCTCTGTCTCTCTCTCTGTCTCTCTCTCTCTCTCTCTTCCTCTCTCTCTCACACACACATACACACTCTCTCACTACCTCTTTTCGTCTCTCGTTCTCCGTTTCTGGCTTGCGGCCCTCTTTCTCTTTCTCCTCCGTTGCTCTTTATCGCTTTATCTCCCACCGGACCCTCTAACCCTCTCTCTAACCGCCGTCTCTCTCTCTCTCTCTCTCTCTTTCCCTCTCTATTTCTCGCTCCTCTCTTTCCCACCCCTTTTCGTTTCGACCCTTTTGCGGTGTGGCTCGCGTGCGTCTGACGGACTCGCGCGGGGCGGAGCGGAGCGAAGCGAAAGCATGTGCATTCAAACGGGGGACCCCGAGTAGTCTTTTCGATCGATCTCGATCGATCTCACTCGTCCCAGAGTGAATCCTGGCTTGATGATGCTTTCCTTCCTTCCTTCCTTCCTTCCTTCCTTTCTTTCTTTCGTTCTTTCTTTCTTTTTCTCTTGTTTCCGGCGTGGCGGCCGAAATTCGCGCGGCGGCCGTCGTCTCGCCTCGTAACGAGCGCCTCTCGTTGCGTTTAATTAGTCGAAGGTTAATGAGGAGACGGGACGAAGCGTCATCATCATTGTTCCGGCGCGTGTTTGGCCAGTGAGTTTCGACGAACCCCTTCTCCTCGTTTCGTCGCCGGTTGTTTCCGCGTCGTCCCGCTCGCTCGTTGATCGCCAAGCCGAGAGGACAGAGGGTGGGTCCGCGCGATTTAATATCGGGGACGGTCGTGTAACTGCACTCTTTTCGGTCGGATTAGCGGGATCGTTGGTGTTTTTCGACGACAACTCGAACACAACACCATCCTCGCCGGTTTTCGGCTACTGCTGGCTTGAATTTCCAACGTTCCAACACTGTCCCGTGACGTTTCTGTCGCGAATTTGAAAGACTGCGGAGCGTGAAATTGTAAATTTTTTTCCTTCTTCGTATTTCTCTAATTATCGATTAGAAAGACAAGGTTGGAAAAATATGAAACTCGATAACGTTATTTGCAAAATGTGAGACTCGGTGTACCTTTGATGAGACTTAGTGTATTCTAAGATGAAGAAATATTGTGATGAACTGTGTCTTAAGTGCAATTCGAAAAGAATATTGTATCGAAGATAATTGAAAATATATTCACTGGTGAAAGAAAAATTTCTACGAAAAATCTCAGACTATTCTATCGATAATTCTATGAATTATAGAAGAAATCGAGTCAAAAGAAACAGAGCTAGACAGTGAAAGCTTAGAAACTTTCGTCGACGATTTCCTTTATGCAAGATTATCCATTTAATAGTTAACTTCGAGATTCTAAATTTTCCAACACACCAAGAATGATGCGAACGTAATTTGGAAGCTTAGAAATTGCAGACAATGTTCCTTAGAAGGAAATTTATTTCTAACTCTAGACATTCTTAACATCCTTCTCGAAATTCTAAATTTGCTGATGTTTTTCGTAAAATTTGTACTGCGCGAACCAGAAATAGTACAACGGATCATAAAATAACAAATAGTTTCAAACCTCCTCTCGCCTCGCGAAACGCGATAATTCCCTTTCGTTTCCAAAGGGATGGACGATGATTCGAGCAAATGGGAAAGACCGGCGGAGATGTCGAAGGAGGATCGAGTGAAACGATGTGAACAGTGGCGCGGAAGATCGAGGAGGGAAGTATCGATCTTTCCGGGCGAAGATCGGCGCGCGTCATCGTACGTGTTTGCCTGGCGGCAAGTCCGCGACCGGCTGGCTATCGTCAGGATATATTCGCACAGGAAATGGGTAGTTCCATTGTTTGCACGTTCGTACAAACAGTGCAGCTGCGAGGATGCGCCGGCCCGGCGGTTCTCTCTGTTTGATTTTCGAAAGTGAAGCTCTATTGTAGCGTATGTCGGTGCGGTGTATACCGACCAGTCTGCTGTTTTCGATCGAGCAAGGCTAAAGAATCGAGAGAACACTTCCAAGGAAACTGGCTGTGTGACGCTGCGTCAACGTTTTCGACGAATCGGCGATCTTCCGCGGGAGGATTCTGAGAAAGATACGAATCCATTGTCTGCGAAAGACGTGAGAAACCAAAGATTCTGAATTTTAATATTTCAGATTAGGTATTGGAGTCTGTGTCCTTGAACCAGACTGAATAATTATACATTCCATTATAGAACATTGTACAGAAAGACTGCGAAAAATGTTACTTGTACAAGACTGAAATTCATTATGTATGATTTTACGAAAGACCTGATATTCCGAATATTTTAATATTTCGAGTGTCTTGTATTCGTCGATCTACCACTGGATAATTTGAAATTTTATAGCGTGAACTATGCAGATTAATATAAAATTTATTAAATATAAATTTTATTATATATATAATTCGTAATAAACCATATCTTCCTAATTTTAATATAACTGAAGCTAAAATTATTGAACTAAAAGAAATGAAGCTTCAACATGAGCTTTTAACAATCATCCATGAATTATATACAATGGAATTTTAACTAAAAAAGATAAAATTATATAAATAAATCATTAATGTATATAATATTTAATATTTTTAAAATATAAACATTTAATCTACTAAATAAATTTAATAAATTGAATAATAAATATAATGAAGGTAAAGAAAAAATTAAAATATAAAATATTAAATAATGCACGTAGTGAACTTATAAAAGATCGAATCTGTTATGTATGATATTTATGAAGGAGCTACAATTCGGAATTTTAATACTTAAATATTTTGTCTTCGTTTTTGAACTATCAGCGGAGATAATTCGAGATTTTAAAGCGAAATGGCTGTATGGAATGGTTATAAGTAGTATTTGGATATATACGCACAGTAGACTGAATCTACTGAAATAGCCTGTGAGTTTACAATGAATTTCACAATTTCAAGCGTTTCATATTGAATTCCAAAGTGAGAGCTATGTGCATAATAACTGCAAGTTTGCAGATGTTCGTACAAAACTGAATCTATGATTTATAATCCATGATTTTACAAGAAGTCTAAAATTTCGAATTCTGTTATTTCAAATATTTATTTTACGTTCAACGTTGTTCAACTTTTGTTATTTAAGGTTCTTTGATTTTCATGATTTCAAATTAGAAATTCGGATATTGGATCTTATTTTCCAAAGAAGCCCAGATATTCTAAATCATTCTAGTCATCAAATTTATGTAGATGTACGAAAATAATACTATATGTAAGAAGAACCACCTAACTCTGCCACCTGAAATTACTCGTAAAGCATTTGTTGCATAAAAATATTGTTTTAAGCAAAAACTGTGTGGCAATTTTTATCGTATTATACAATTTAAAATATCATATAATTTTTGTTCGAAATATCTTTTCATATAAAAAAAAAAAAAAAAAAAATGAATTTCGCGTAACCTCAAATGTTGGAATTAAGCAACACATCGTGTACATTCGGACCTGACTGATTAATGCAAGACCTAGGGAAACAGGTACAACGAATACAACAAAATAAATAAGAAATTTCAAAGCAGAACTTCACAGTGCCGAGAACCATCGAGAACAAAAATCACCCGGGATTACTTACGAAACAAAAATTAAATTCTCAAAACGTTCTCGCGTTACGAAATTTCTACCGAACCTATGCTTCGAAGTACGATTCGCTCGACAAATCAACGACGACATCGCCGATCCGAAACGACGAAACGTAGCGAGAACGAACAAATGAACACGAATATTTCATCGGAGGCAATATGAAACATCGCGGGCGACATTAGGCCGACGAAATCGGAGGAGGAAAACGCGGCGTTGCGCGGCTCCTGGCGCCACGGTGCCCCAGCTGTCTGTCGCTTATTTGAATAACAGCAACGAGGGCTCGCGGAATGAATCGCGCGAACCGGCCGCAGAGAAGTAGCCAGGGCGAACGATCGGCCGACGAGACGGTGACAAACAGCGATACGGTGGAAACGTGGAAACCGGACGGCCGTCGTCGTATTGACAAACGACCTAACGCCCGTGTGGACCGTTGCGTTCGACGAGATTCGAATTATCTCTGTTGGAGCTTGTCAATGCAAATGCCATACCTACATTCAATTACCGCTCGTCACGCTTCGATCAGCGCGCGGCCAACCAACCACGGAATATTCCTGCTCGACTTCTTTCTCGCCGTCCGCGCCCGCGATTCTCGCTCGCCGCGTCGTCGCTGTTTTCGCGCGACGACCCGTGATATTCAATTGTTTTAAACGGAACGGATTCGCCGACGGTGTTGATTTCAGCGGTGGGATAATGCGGAATAAATATTTGAGGAACGTTGGGCTCTTGGACGCGCCGCTGCGCGGGGGAAATGTAGGAACGTAAGATGAAGCAAGATTATCGACAGTTTGTTTCCGAGAACGTAGAGATTTTTAGAAATTTTCTTCTTCGTTTCTTTATTTGCCCGCGTGATGTTAATTTCAGCGGTGTGTAATAAATTTTGAAAGAAATGTCGCGGGGATATGGGACTGTCGACGTTTTGAACGTATCGAAACCTTTAATTTTGGAAGAATTAGATTCAATTATTTTAGACATTTGTATGCGACGTTAATTTCGAATTTTTTCTATGAAGTTAGTTTCAGTGGAATGAACGACGAATTTTATTTTAAGCGAACCGAGATTTCTCCTTAATTTTGGTTTTACATATTGGGGGGCATTTCTACAAAATTCTAGACTATATGTAGAGAGAAAAATGTTGGAAAGAATTTTGAATTTTATTTGCCTATAAACCTTTTAAGAATATCTTCTATCTCTTAGCTTATTAATTACTTCAAAATGCTAGAATCTCAAATGCTAAAAATTTGAGATTCTAATTTAGATGCCAAATGACTGATGTAATATTTTACATATAACAATATGTTTTT